CAGCTCAGCTGTACACGCTGATCCTACGAGGGTCAAGCCCACTTGACTTGGCCCTGTGCTAAGCAGAGGCACAGCAGCACCACACGCTGGTTCCTCGGGCTCCTGCAGGGACCAGGAGCTGCCTTTCCAGACGTCAAGCAGGGCCCCAGGTGGCCCCAGTCAAGGCTTAAAACCCTTCTGCAATTTTCAACAGCCAAGTGAACATTCAGGCCCAACTTGCATTAATTTTTTTCAGAAAGAATTTTACTTGTTTTGTGGGGGACATTCAAGCCCCACACACAGCCTGGTGTGAACACAACATGTACAGAGGGGATCTGTAGAGAAGGGCAGCCCGACAAGCTCAGGACAAAGTTCCCAGGAGCTGAGCAGCAGACCCTGATGGCAGCCTGCTCGTGGTCCTTAGCTCTGAGCAGGACACCTGTGGCACTCACGGGGATGTCACCCATGGCACTTACAAGGAGGTCACCCGTGGCACTTACCCAGCCAGCTGCATCACTGCACTCAGATCCACATGAGAAGAAATGGGCCCAGCGTTAGAACAGAGCACCATGGTGTTATTGTTGGGTGTTCTGGATTGTATAATTCCATATTAATTTGTTTTTAATTAATACGAACAAGCTCTTTCAACTGAAGCATTCTCCTGCTTCCTGTGTCTGCAGTAACACTTACTGCAGCACCAGGCCACTGAGATAAAGGCAGGGAGCTGAGGATGTGTCAAGGTTCTGAAAAACTGGGGACTGGCCAGTTCATTCTGACACCTGAGCTGGGCAAACAGACAATGTGCAGAGTTATACCACCACCACCTGAATCTCTGACAGATGTGCCTTTTCTTCCTGACCTCAAAAATATTCTTTCAGAATGGAATTGTAAAAGAATTCCACATTAAACTCACCAACACAGGTGCAATGAAGACTTTCCCCCAAGCTACATCTCGATCAATCCCACCATGGCCAACAACAGTAAGCCTACTGCAGTTATTTTCTGCTTACTAATGCACCCATGAAATCTATTTTAAATATTAACCATCTGGGCACTTGCCACTTCCATTCTTATTGTAATGGGCTGCATATTTATAAATGTGTCTGCAAGAATCAATCCACCACCTGACTAAAAATATTCAACAGTTCAGAGCTAAAAATTCACCTCCAGACATTGCCATAGCCAAGTCCAGATGCAGTTCTGCAAGCCTGGCCAGGATCATGCATAGAAATTACACTTAGAGGAATATTTCCAGTTACTGTTACCATCAAGGTTGTAAGTATAATGCATGGTGGCACAAGAGTGATGAGGCAGAAAGATGCCAGAGGTCACAAACACTGAGGTATATCTCCAGGGATTAGCAACAGACTTGAATCCACATCTTCTCCTGCCTGTTGTCCAAGCCCCTCTCAGCCAGCACTGACCAACACTGTGGCTTTGATGAGCGCTCTCCAGTCTATGTAAACCAGATGATGATGCTCATAAACCACTAACAAATTACTCTAATTAGCCTCCATGCTGGAAGCTTCATCAACATGACAACAGACCAGGAGCAAAGCACAAAGAGGGCTGCATGGCTGCCCTGCTGTACTTGCTCCATTTAACCAGAGCTCATCCTCACTGCCAGCCTGATGACTTCCACCAGTACCAAATTCACTGGGAGAGAAGGCAGCCAGGAACCAGCACAGGAGACTCCAGAGGTCAGGGGCACCTGCACACACAGCTTTGCGTACAAGCCACAACACAACATGCAAGGCTGATCTCAGAGAGACCCATTGACTTTACTGGGAGACATCCCACTCACAAAACCTTCCCAGAGGCTCCTTCCACTCCCCTATGGAGGGTTAGCAGCTGGGAAGCAAGACTGGGAAGCCAAGCTGAGGAGAGCAGTGCCCTGTGGGGCTTTGCTGGATCAGCAAGCCACATCACAGCACCCACCTGAGCTACACACCTGCCCCAGCTCCAGTGACAGCAGGTCTCCGTGGGTTTGGCTGTGGTACCCATGAGCAGGACAGCCACAGCCTCATGGAAGAGGACAACCTACAGCCCCACTCACCTCCACCCTGTTTTCAGATGCATTTCCTGACCTCCAACACCCTCCAGCCCTTTTATTCCTCTGACGGTGGGTCACTGCTCTTAGGTCAGACACACGGTGGGCAGCTCAGCAGGACCACGCTCGCTCTGGCCACCAGCACCCCTCTCCCTCCGGGCCAGGGATGCCCTTCACGGGCAGAGGGTGCCTCCCATGCAGATCCCTGTACCCCTCACGGGCCAGAGGTGCCCCTCACTGCCACGGCTCCTACACCCTCCCCACCGCCCCAGAGGCGAGCCCGGTGCCACGGCAGCGATGCGGTGACCGGGGGCGGTGAGTGGGGTGACCGGGGCCGGTGGAGGGACGGCCGCCCCCGCCTCGCCGCAGAAAATGCAAGTCAGCGGTGGCTCGGCGGCCGCAGGCGCCGCTCAAAAGTTTGGGGGGAGGCGCCGGGCCGGGAGCCGCGGGCGGGGGTCCCGCCGGTCTCACCTCCTTCTGGCGCGGGTCCTGCGGGTAAACGTCGGGCGGCCCGAGGCGCGGGCGCTTGAGAGGGCGATGCTCGTAGCTGAGGAGCCCGAAGGCGGCCATCATCGCTCATGTTCGCGGGCCCCAGCGCCGGGAGCAGCGTGGGCGGCCCCCCGGCTCACCCCGCGCCGGGGGCGGGCTGCGGGGCCGGGCGGGGGCGGCGCGGCTCGGCCCACCCGCTCCGCATCTCCCGCGCCAGGTGCCGGCCGGGCCCCCCCAAACCGCGCCGGGGCTGGGCTGGGCTGGGCGGCTGCGGGGGACCCCCGGCTGCCCCGGGGTAGCGCCCGGGGAGCGGAGCGGGGCGGCCGAGCAGCCGCAGGGACGCGGCATCCGCACCCGGTCGCCTCCCCCATTTTTAGCATCTTCGTTGTAGCCGAGAAACCAATTCCTGCCCGGCCGTCACACCGCCCCGCAGTCCCCGCGCTCCGGGGGCACGTTCCGCCGCTGGGCTCCCGGCAGCAGGGCCCGGTCCCGATCCGAGCCGCCCTCCGTAGCTCCCGGCTGGGGAGGGGGAGCAGCAGAGACCCCACTTCCCGCGTGAAGCCTCAGCGCCCTGAAGCCGAGTGGAGGAGTGAGGGCATTCCCCCTCTGTTCCCTGCTCGGGGGCTGAGGGATCCCGACCCGCTCCCGGAGCTACCGGAGGGCTGTGAGGGCGCACGATGCTGCTCCGGCAGCAGTGACCGCATCCCCGGGGGCTGCAGCCTCGGCTGGCCCTGGCTGAGTCTCTCCGGCCACTGCCTTCCAGCTGCCACTGGGCACGCTGCTCATCCCGAAGGATGCTCCCAGGGGCCCATCTGTACCACCCGAGTGGATCCACTGATCCCAGCGGATGGGGCAAGCAGGGCAGGAGACGTGATGTCAACAAAAGTACAGTTTCCGATTAATGAATCTTCAAAACACAAGCAATACAACATGAAAGTGTCAGGGCGCCCTTTTCCAGCATCAGTGGATGTCCCACACCTACCCACCTTCCTGACGGGGCTGCAGCCACGACTACAGCCTCGACTACAGCCTGCGACCGCCCCGTGCCCCGCTCCACAGAACATCTTCCGTCGCTCAGCAGAGCTGTCCTCTCCGCAGGTGCTGGAGCGGTGGGTGCATTCCTCTATCAGCCTTACAGTAAGAAAGCACGAGAACTTTTCTCCTTTCTGCCTAGTACTTGTGCCAGATCCTCCCTTTGTGCTAAATCTCCCCAACAGTACAAACACAAGGTTCTTTGGAAATACAAGATTAGACAGTGGGTTGCAAATAAGTCTAAATAAAATTAACAGCCATACTCTCCAAATGAGCTTATGTAGTATAGACAAGAACAGGCAAACCACACATCTTCTGTCTCTAAGCAATTCTCTAGTCAAACCACAGAGAATTTAAAAGCTGAGGCTGAACTAGACAATACCAATAAAGTAGTCTGGTACTGGCCTACACTGTCTCATATTTGTTAACACATCTTCTACTACATCTTTGGTTACTGAATTACTTTCACACATGCAGCTGTGTTTGCCAAAGGCAAGGACTAACAAATCTGATTCCCCTAAACAGGTATCAGCTTAAAAAAAAAAAAAAAAAAAAAAAAAACCACACACCACCAGTAAATCCTTTATCTGTACACAGATTTGCTTCTTTTTAATTCCAAGTTTGCCTTAGAACCTACGTGGTTAAACCAGACTCAGCTGGTATGATACTTTTCTGTCACCTGCAGAGCATTCCTGCAATGGATGTGCATCCAGTTAACAAAGCACTAAGTTGATCTGGTTGAGAAAAAACCCAAACCCTGTGTTTGCTGAAGTCCCTGGCAGTCAGTAGATGGGTGCAGACAGTGCCTCTGGCCCTCACTAAGCCTCCAAGTTAGCCACACTTCAAGGGATGGGTTATGTTATGACTTAGCTTGTGTGAAGAGCATCCAGATACTACAGAGGGGCCTCCTGGCTGGGCAGGGTGCTGTGTGTTACCTGGGCAATACATCAGGAACAGCAAAGGAGAAATACACTCAGAAGGGGGGGGGGGGGGGAAGAACAGCACAGTTGGCTTTAGAAAAAAACCTGGAAAAATAAACCTTTTGAGAACTTCCATTATGGACAGCAGATAATCAGATGCACCAGGGAAGCTGTCTCTGAACCCCCCACTCCCGCGGGGGCTGAGACAAGCAGAGCACTCATCAAATTACAGAGATCAGTCATCCTAAACCCGCGCTATCAAGTGACAGGAGATGCACTGAAACCCTCCGCAAAGCTGTACGGAGGGGGGGACGGGGAAGAAGAGTCTTTGCAGCGTTCTCCAGGCGGTGCCTGCCTGTGGCTGGGCTCTGGGGCTCCGGAGAGGCTGCAGCTCTCAGGGCAGGGCTGGCCGGGCGCGGGGGCTCTCTCGGGGCAGGGCTGGCCGGGTGCCCGGGGCTCTGCAGCACCGCGGCTCAGGAGCTCGGCAGCGCCTCGGCCACAGGCGCGTCCCCGGCGGTGCCGGTGCCACGATGCCAGCCCCGCAGAAGAAGCTGATCTTCTGCACGGCCGGGGTGCTGAGCCTCGCCTGCGCGCTGGGCACGGCGGCGGCCGTGGGCACCCAGCTCTGGGTGAGGGGCACGACCCTCTGCACCACGGGAGCGCTGCTCGTCAACGCCACCGGCCCGGAGCTGCACAAGTTCATCGGCGAGATCCAGTACGGGCTCTTCTCCGGGCAGCGTGTGCGGCAGTGCGGGCTCGGGGGGAGACCCTTTCAGTTCTCATGTGAGTAGCGATGGCGTTTGGGTTATCTACAGCGCGCTGCTGACAGCGGGGCCGCGGGACAGGGCTGCCCGCACGGCACAGGGCTGCC